GGAAAGAGTAAAAGTAAAACTCAGGAATCTGCTAATATCTCTCCTCATATACCCCCATCCCCTCTTTAAAGGTTTTGTCTGGTTCTTCGGAGGCTGAGGAAGAAAATGATCCTGATGGTCCTTTTGCCTTCCGTAGGAAAGCAGGCTGTCAGTACTATGCTGTAAGTAGAATTTCATTACGTATCATAAGACAGAGCATCATTGTGGGAAAACATCTTGTGTTTAATTGTTTAAAATTATTTTAAGCCTCATTTAGACCAACCTGGTAGCTGGCCATGGAGTAGACCTAAGGAGGGAAGACTAGGAGATGTGCGTTACAGATACTGCTTAACCACCCTCACTGTACCCCAGAGATGTGTTGGGTTTGCACGAAGACGGATTGGCCGTGGTGGAAGGTGAGTGCTACATAATAGTTGTTGTGGGTTGGTTTTTTTTAAGATTAAAAAAAAAAAAAATCAATAAGACAGAGCAAAGTTCAAAAACAAAAACCCCAACCCAAATCCCTCAAAAATGGAGACATTGAAGAGGTTGAGTTTTTAAATACTTCCATTTGATACAAGTTTCTTTAGCTGGTTAATGTCTCCATTTTTATTTTGCAGTAGTGGAAGCTGCTTTAATACTGTTTTCTTAAATGTTTCTAGAGGGTTTTTTTCTTGCTGTCATTCCCAAGTTCTGAGGTGAAAATACATGTACGTTTTCAATTGTGATTGAGGGTTTGTATTTAAATGATTTCCATAGTTGTCTTCAAATATCAGTATTTAAAAATAGCAAAAATCACATTTTTCAGAAAATGCTTTTCTGAGTTTGGACCATATCTGGTGATTTTGCCAGTTGTAGAGGAGAATTTTGGGAGGAATACTTAAATATTGTTTGTGTGTGTGTGTATATTCCTATAAATACTTGCACTACATTGTATATGATACTTCCAAATATTAAATTTAAAACGTAAAAATTTTAAAGAATTTAAGGACTTAAGGCATTTTGCTTCTAAGAATCTTTATTTTAAAAAATGTATAAATTGTTCAGTGCTTAAGTGCTATTTCTTAATCATTTTATGATGTACTTAAGAAAATGGTACATTGGTATTAAATTTTAGTTTAAAAAAATGTAAGAACGTGATTTGGCTTTCAGATTAATGCTTGGAAACTTTTCACATACTGGCAAGTCAGATTGGTTTATCAGCAAAATCGAATGGGAGCTGAAGGCTCTTAATGGGATTTCCCAAGGGGATTTGGAAGTTAATGTGCGACATGCCCACTGCATTGGGATGGTTATAGGTATATTCAGTATATATGGGAGTAAGGCTTTTGAACTGATGTTACTTTAGGAGGGCATTTCATTCACTTTTTAGTTACTTAAATAATTTTATTTTATTCTATTTAGGTTTTTTTGCTTTGCATTGTGGAACTCTTCTAGCCTGATCACTTTTTAAAACAAAGATTTGTACATGTTGTTGCAATGTCTTAGTATATACGTAATGATGTACATCAGATGTTCAAACAGGAAAACAGTGAAGAGAAATCTAAACGTACTACTTACTGTAAAATAATATATAGTCATGCGTAGTGTTAGTTTTGGGGGTGGATTGCTTGTTCTAGAATAGCTTTGTGTAGTTTCTTTTTCTTCTATCCCATTGTACTGCCCCAAGCACACATGGCAAGCATTAATAATAATAGTGATAATTTTGCATTGCCTTCCTGTTTTTAGGGTGCTACTAGACAGAGCGCATTCGGACTACGATGGTACATTTCATCAGCTGGATTTGGAAATGCTTTCCTCATCACAACACTCTTCAATCAGTCAATTTGCCAATACCTCAGAAACAAATACCTCGGACAAATCTTTCTCAAAAGACCTCAGTCAGATACTAGTCAATATCAAATCATGTAGATGGCGGCATTTTAGACCTCGGACACCATCCCTACATGACAGTGACAATGATGAACTCTCCTGTAAGAAATTATACAGGGGTATAAGTCGAACAGGCACAGCACAACCCGGGACCCAGACATGCAGTACCTCTATACAAAGTAAAAGTAGCAGTGGTTCAGCACACTTTGGTATGTTTATTTTGACAAACTTGCTTCTAGAAATTTTAAACTTGGCTCAGCAAATCCAAAATATCATTAGGTCATCCATACTTTATGTCATGGTCTATTTTGATGGTAACAGCCCATCTTCACTTTTATCTCTTTATTTGCTGCATAGAATGTTTATTTGTATTTATTGCTAGTAGTAGTGTACTGCATTTCAAAATTATGCAAATGCTACTTTGGTATGTAATTATGGCATTAGAAATATGAAGGTTTAGAAACCAATATTGTGTAGGGTTTAAGTTGACTCTGAAGATCTGGATTTTTTAATATTAAAGATATGTTGATGGAAATGTTGATAGAAATACTACATTCCAAATTTTTTCTAGTACAAGTTATGGTGGTGGTGAGAAATGCTTAGTTAAAATGTTTGCATTTAAAATCCCGGTGTGTTATGAATTGTTATTTGAACTTATATGAAATTAAATGCCGTTTCCCATCCAAAAAATATCCAACCCACCCCTACTGATGCACCTGCTCATGCCTGGCAAAACTCCCGGACTAACCACCTCTACATCTTGTCAGCAAGTGGCAGATTACATTTTATAGAACCTGAACTATAGAATTGAGGACGTAACACTTAAGAAAACTTGATATGGTGGTGTTTTTTAATTGGAATACTATTAGGTAGCATCACTCTTTTTATTGAGTTCTTCACACTGGAAGACTGGTATTTATGTAGTTAGAATGTGACTTAAATAACTCTTGAGTTTTGATCAGTCAGTACATTAAATGTCATCATTTTCTAGAAAGTAAAGTGACTTTTTTTTTTTTTTTTACAAAAAATAACTTTAAATGTTCACCACCATTTTGTAAACAGTCTCTAGAATCATGTTTTCCTTGCCATTTTGAATTACGGCTTTGGAGATAAATTAGAAAACCTGGATAATGTAGGAATGGGGTGGGGAGATATGCACATACCTAATAAACTCCCTGAATTGTGTGAAGTTTTGAAGAATTGCTCAAAGAAAGTGTTACCTTGGTATCAGATGACTTTAACCTTCCTTATTTTCCAACATATTTTGTACTTTTCCTGCCTGCAGCACCTGTTGTGTTTTTTTCTGAAAATTCTTCCTTGTGTGTTCAGACTTAGTGGGTAGCTTTTTTTCTGCTGCTTTATTTCATGCTTCCTCTTGATGCTGTCCTAGATTAGGTCCTTGCCCCATCTCCCATTCTTTTCTCTCCTATGACTTCTTGCTGGAAATTTATTAGAGCTAAAGCTGTTGGTTCTTCTGGTTTCTGATCTAAGTACCACTTTTGGTGCTTAAATTCTGCTCCTCCAATCTTTCAAGTCAGTAAACCAAGTCCAGAACAGAATGAGAGCATACACTGTCTAGGGGCCAGTCTGAACTGTGGTAAGATGGTAGTCAGGTTACTAGTGTGAAGACAAAACCAATGTGTGATGGATTGATTATAAATACACTATAAAGTATTAATGGCAATATGTTATGTCTGAAAAATCATGTGACTTGAAAAGTTGGCCAATTGAGTTTAAAGCACATCTTTGTGTTTATAAACAAACGCACACCCAGCCCCCTATAGGATCTTTTTTCCTTAGATAGTTGATTAAAATATTTATCTGCATAATTTAAGAATTAAATGCAATTGTTAGGGTGATGAGGTCTGTACAAGGTTTAATTGTGTGGTTGTATTTTGAAGACTGTGAGAAAGTAATACATACATATAAGTACCTAGCATATTACATTTATTTGTGCTTGGAATTCTAAGCAAATGGTTCATCATCTGTGTAAAATACTTAAGTTAGTATTTCAAGCTTCTCCAAATATAAATTTTATGGAGTTTAGATTTGTATTTTTATTAGGGTTTGATACAGGAATGAAATAATCAGTATAAAAATACAACTGTGTCTGAATTCATAGATATACTTTAAATTAGTTACACAGTCTCTGGATAGTCACTTGTTAATCTAACCAGGTAGACTGTACCTGTATAATTATTTATAATCTTAATTGGGATTCTTGTAGCATTGCAAGTGTACATGTGTTTGTTTATATGTGGTGTAATGATCATCATCTGTTCTTTGAAAGGAGTGTACGGCCTAGTTCATCTTGGTGCCATTCTGTTTTCTAGTGTTCTTTTTTCAGTTTCTTACGGGATTCTTTAAGATACATTGTCTATGCAGATTGCAGGTGTGGTCGTGTGTGTCACACATACAATTTGACTTCTTCAAAGGTCTGTGTCAGTTGGGGCTGCAGCTGCTGAGTTACTTCTCACTTTCTCTAGCAAATACTGTAAAGAACATCAGGTAGCTAATGCCTGTGCTGAAGATTTTCTAATAGTCATTGCTGCAGATGTACAACCCTGTAGAATGTCCCTGTTGCTTTTTCTTGGCTGTCTTTAAAGCTGGAAGTTTGTTGTGGGTGTGGATTTGTTAGGCTTGTTTCTCTTTGTCTTTTAGGTTTTTGAAGTGGCGGTAGGTCTTTTTACTAGAAAATACTTACTAATGCACCTCTCTTTTTAAAAATCCTTTTATCCTTTCACTGCTACTGTGAGTTGTCAAACCATATTGCTTACCTTTAAGATAAAGCTTATCCTGAGATTCTGTAGTGCCTAGCAGAGGTGGTCATGTTGCTTTTTATAGTGCATTGTCACATGATAAGTTTTGTCTGTTTCCATATTAAAGAAGTTTAGAGAAGTCTTGAGCATTTTCCACCTTGAATGATCCAGACAACATGCTGCTGACATGGGAAAATTGCTGTGGAAAACCTTGCTTTTCAAATCTGTTACAAATGGCCAACACAGGCATGAAGTTGAGATGGTATCTCAGGTCCTCTCTTTATTTAGAGGGCATGTTATAAAAGCTGTGCTGTGACATACCGTTCTCTGGCTACAGGAAGCATTGTTTTTCATCCTGAAGATCAGAGAGAGGTTTTGCCAAAGAGCCAGGCATTTCATAAATATTTTGAAGTGGCTTTGACCCTGAAGAAATGCAAGGTTCTCTGGTCCTGGCTTTCAGAGGGCTCAGCATAAAAGATCTGTGGAAGATGAAGTTACTGCATTGAGATTTTGTGTGTAAACTGAGAAGGGGTGTCTTAAATACCTTACAAGTGACTTGAAAATGAGGCTTGTACTGGACTTGGCATGTGTTAAAGGATAGACTTTGGCAGCAGGATCAAGCAGCCAAGAAGAGTAGCATCACTTCTGAAGAGAGTGATTCCTTTTCATCTTACTGAAGAATTATGTAAAAGCAGCTCTATTTACAAGAGGGCAAAGGATGATTCGAGGATCTTCAGGCAAGAGTGTAAAAGTACGATTCTTGTGGGGAAGCTATTCACTCTGAACAAAATGCAACAAAATTACTTCAGAAAAGGAGCTTGTATTGCTGACAATGTAATCAAGCTTCTGAATCATAATCTTCAGAGATGGAACTTGTGTCTTAAGTCTGGAGTGTACAGTAGGCATAAATACTCACCTGAAGTATTTGTGTCCCAGGAATGTAGTCTTCATTGTTAGGTTGATCTAGTTCTTCCAGGCAAATGGTAGTCTCTGAACTGCATCACATTATAGAGAGACTGTGCTTTCTGCTGGAAACTTGCTGTTAAATATGTTACATTCATGGGTTTGGGTGGTTGCATCTAGTAATCGAAAGTCTGAGACATTTAAAACTGCACAATGTGCAGCTTTGTGTTTAGGAGGCAGAGCAGAGATACCAGTCACTAGTGAAAGATTTGAGCATTGGTTCTCAGGCTCCACAGTAAGACCAGGCAACTGTCTTGCATTCTATTCTTTCTGCCTTTTTCATCTAGAAGTTGGGTCACTTTGAAAAGAAAGTCTTCAAGCTATCAAGACCAAAGAGGCTAGCAGTTAACTAGAGTCTACTCAACTAAATTTGTAATTCTTTTTTTGAGAAGAAGTTTAAGTATTCTAGCAGAAGCCTTACTGAAGATTCTTAGAGGGTTATGATGTTTGGGATTGTAGACCTTACTGTATATGAAAAACTGCAGGCATCCAGGATATAGTTAAAGAACCCAGAGTAGCTTACCTTGCATTTTCTTGTAAACTAGAGGTTTAGATGATGTGCTGGTGCTTTGCTATTCAGTGTATATATAACTATATATATATAAAAAACTTTTTCTGTGGGAATTCCATAGAAATAACATTTTTCCCAGTAAACTTGGATGCTTTTTTGCATTTCTTAACTTGCTTTTTAAAAGCAATTTTGCACACTTCAAGGTCTAGCAGGATCGTAAACTATGCTTCCGTTTCCTAAACGTGTGTTTAGCTATTCCATTTCCAAATTTGTAATGTTAGCTGATGGATCTGTACTAGGTTTTTTGTGTTCTCATTAAGGATAGCTGATATACCCATCTTCAGACATCCCTTTCCTGGAAGGAAGCAGGAGGAAGCTACTCAATCCTTGTGGCAGTTCTGCTCACCAGAGTAGAAGGACTTGTCCTACCTTTTCATTGCTTTCATGCCATCACTGGCTGTGTTTAGATACCCTTGTATCGGTAATAGCCTCAACACTGCTGTTTTACTATTTTCCCTTTTCCAAATGCTTATTTTCGCATTGCAGGATAAACTTGATCATGAAAAACATGGACATTTGTAATGGCCATTTTCAGTTATCGTTGGAACTTTCCAACAGTCTTGGCCCATCTGTGGCTGAGATGTTGAGATTCTATTTGAATAAGCAGTGGCCTTGGGAGTAACAGGTGTTTATAGCCTACCCGAAGTTTAATTGAAGGAGGAAATCTTAAAAGCCTCTTCAGTCTGGAAAATGTGACTGGGGGTGGGGGAAAAGTCAACACTAAAACATCTGAGCACTTCTGGAGACTTGGAAACTTTGTAGTTAAACTACATTTTCTCATTCAGCTTCAACCCAGTTGGAGTAATACTTTGCTCTTTGGGCTTCTGTAAACTGTTACACTTTGTCTGCATCCCATGCAAGGATGGTCCTGTTTATAACTGACTCTGTAAACTCTGTGTACCCCAGTGGGCCTGTC